AAAATACCTAATAAAAGCTGTTAAATCAAAATTACTTAAATTTCCTAAAATACGCATTTAAATTGAAAGCTACATATAATAATATCTATTATAATATGCGATCACAAGTCTGAGGGATAGCTCAGTGGTCAGATCTTGAGTTTGCTTCCCAATAATCATCGGTTCGAGTCCCTCAGGACCACTAAGGTGAGTATCCGACTGTAAACTTCAGAATTTAGTGAGATTCGTTGAGGTGCGAGTAAGTTGGGTCGAACATCCACTGTCATTAAAAAAAAATAAAAAATGAGGAAATTCTTATATGAGATCACTTATCCATGTAAGACTTAATTAAAATCGTTACCATGCGTTACAATTTCGTGGAAGCTTTCCACGCCTCTATATAGTATGATACACGTGGTCTTTGACCAATTCAGCGGTTTATAATAGTTTTATCCCCATGCATACGTAATTAGCCCTGATCAAAGTTATAAATATATCCCCTAAGTACACAAATTTTATCCAAATCAAAGCTAGAAAATTTCTTAACAGTGCTCTTGAATCTTCTTTAGTTAGTTTCCAAACACAGCATTTATATATAAATATTATGAAGAGGGCTTCATCCTCAGTTCAGATCCAACCCCCTACGTATGGAAATCTGATCACAATTCTGAGCATTGATGGGGGTGGTATTAGAGGAATTATTCCTGCCACTATCCTTGAATATCTTGAATCTCAACTACAGGTAATTAACTTAAAAACAGCTTTGTTTCTATTTTTATTTTTCCAAAAAAAGGAAAAAAAGACAAATATTATTTTTTGAAAAAAAAAAGACTCATTTATTTATTTAAAAAGTTCTCTTCAACGCATTCAACCTTGGATAAGGCAAGATTCATTTTTTCTTCAAAATCTCGACTCATGAATTATTTTAACAAATTGTCAGTACTACTTTATCTTCGTTAGAGAGGACATAAAATTAACTTTTTTTTTTCCGACCTTAATAATACTTTAGCGTTGTTAGATGGCCTAAAATATGTTCCTTTTTAAAATATTTAATTAGTTCCAATGCGTTTTTGATGAAAACGTGGCAATTTTAAGTGATAGTCGTATCTTGAATAAATTGATACTATAGTTATTTTGTTAATGATGTAACATTTATATTTGAAACTAATCAGAGACCTACACCAACAAATTCATATAAAACAAGTTGCCCAAATTTAAAAATGAAAGAGATGTTAAAGATTCCACGACAAAATGTATGTATAATATACTACGCTGAACCATCTATAGAAAACTAATGACTAGAAATATGTGTTCTTCGTTGCTAGGTGCTTGACGGCAAGGATGCTAGACTTGCAGATTATTTTGACGTAATTGCAGGAACGAGCACAGGAGGTCTAGTAACTGCCATGTTAACCGCTCCTGACAAAAATAACCGCCCCTTGTTTGCAGCTAAAGATATCAAACCCTTTTATCTCGAGCACTCTTCAAGAATTTTTCCTCAAAAGAAGTATAAATCATACTTTAGTAGTACAAAATAGAGTTACATCTTATATTAATCTTATTGATTTTATGACCATATTTTTATAGATGACGACATGTATTCTAATGGTTTCAAATTGCAGAGGCTTATTGGGATTTGTCGGAAAACTATTGAAATCTATAGTCGGACCAAAGTATGATGGAGAGTACCTACACAAAGTTATCAGCGAGAAACTAGGCGAGACTCGACTAGATGAGACATTAACTAATGTTGTCATTCCAACATTTAACATCGAAAATTTGCAACCTAT